AGTCCTAGGTTACTTACTGGAGCTGTGCTAGTCCTAGGTTACTTACTGGAGCTGTGCTAGTCCTAGGTTACTTACTGGAGCTGTGCTAGTCCTAGGTTACTTACAGGAGCTATGCTAGTCCTAGGTTACTTACAGGAGCTATGCTAGTCGTAGGTTACTTACTGCAGCTATGCTAGTCGTAGGTTACTTACTGCAGCTATGCTTGTTCTAGGTTACTTACAGGAGCTATGCTAGTCCTAGGCTACTTACTGGAGCTATGCTTGTTCTAGGTTACTTACTGGAGCTATGCTAGTCCTAGGTTACTTACTGCAGCTATGCTAGTCCTAGGCTACTTACTGGAGCTATGCTAGTCCTAGGTTACGTACTGACAAAATATAAACCATTGCTAATTGTACTCCAAACTCTCTATATGCTTTCATTACCCTGATTTTACAGTTTTGCTTAGATTGTTTAAAGGAGAGAGTTTTTGACTTGATAAATGTCCGGTATAAGTTACAGAAAGTTTTAGGGCAATGACATTAAATTAATAACATACTTTTATCAGCCAATCTCTCAACACAATTAGAAATGGAGCAGGGAGATTAGTGGAATTTGGTAAGTGATTAATGATTGGACTTGTTAATTGATTATTCTCACGTAAGAATGCTATTCCTATTTTCAGCTTGTTTAAAAACATTTTTGAACAACCCTTCGTTTAATATTCATCTTCAAGAACAACAGTTTAGGATTAAGTAACATTTGTACATGAAAATGTATCATATCCATTGTGATATGAAACATGTGACAAGCTGAAAATACAATTAATACTGTACCATTGGTTTCTCCCTGTAAAGTTTCACAAGACTACTCTACTAAAATTAAATAAATAATTCTGCATTAAAAATTATTGTCTTTAGATTTCAGATGGTAAAACTAATAAAGATTTTTGTGTGTGATAAAAAAAACATCAAATCTCATCCATGCCAAGATGGGACATAGGACCTGGTACTTAATTGGGACACATTCTACCCTGGACAGGATGCCAGTTCAGTGCAAGTTAACCTACAGTTAACAGCTGGTTAGCATGATGCAAGCCAGCCTCGAACCGTCTGGCTACGAGTCCAAAGTGTGAAGTCACGCTGTCCTCTCACAGTTTGTCATTGATAATATATAATTCAGTGAAAAGATACTCACTTCAATCTTAGAAAAATGAAGACAGATAACATTTACTAATTCAGTATTATTCATAAAATTATAATAATAAATAACAACAACATTGCAATACAAAACATCTTTAATTAACAACATTTAACATTTTTTTATAATTCCATCATCAGCTTTTAAGCAAGGTGTTGATATGATGAAAGTGTAGAAAGAACACATTAAAGTGATTGATATGTTAACAGTTTGGAAGTAACTGTAGAAACATGTGTGCATTAAATTAAACGTGTTAAAGCCTACTGTACTAGGCAGTGATTAAGCAGCACGTGAAACAGCCAGGTTTTTGTTTTCCATATCTAGTTAGAGCTAGTTTTAACAAAACGGAAGCCCTGGTTAAGTAGGTTAATGGTGTTGCATGTTGTTAGGCTTGTCTTTAGTCCATGTCTAGTGATTTCTTACAGACACAGTTAAATAAGCAACTTATTCAATACTAGATGGAGTACCCATCCCTTGGACGGAAGTTATGTAAATTCATGATTAATAAAAGGTTATCTTAGGACATAAAAAGTTGCTTCCCTTATATGTAATTGTTAAAAATGCCTGTAAAAACTGCAAAATGCAAAACTGCAAAATTGTATGTACTCCTGCACGGACCTAATAAACCTCCATACCATGCTTACCATACATAACACTGATTATGCTTGTAATAAGTTAGCAATATATTAATTTAAAGTTACACTATTACTTAGTCCAAACAATGTTTTTGATTATTTTCACGAGTCACTACACTACTTAATTAAGCTGAACAGTCATAATGGTAATATTTTGATTGGTTGATTATTTTTGTGACAATAATCAGTTTAATCTTATGTTTGGTTAATCTGTTATTTTATATACATGACACTGATCCATGTAATTGATGTGCTTGGATTACATTGATTAATCACCCAGTCTAAC